ATAGCGGTACCGGTTACTCCAAGCTTGGTTTGTTCTCTTCTTCCGAGAAGATAGGCACACAACTAATAATGCCTCAATTATAGGTTTCGCTGGAAATGATTCTCCCTCCTTCGTCTTCCCTACCGCTATAGCGACCAAAAATGCCGCAGGAGCTGGTGCAGGTTCTGGATCTGGACGTCCTGCAGTTGCCAACAAGCCTTCATATCTTACGGGCGGCGCTGGGCCAGGAGGTCATCTCTCAATGAAACGTGGAACTGAAGATTTGGACTTCTTTATCGGAGACGAGGCATTAGCAGCCGCAAGTGGCCCAGGTGCGCATAAATTATAGGATATATGGAATTGGAACTCGTTCTGATCATTGCAGGTTATGGCATAAACTATCCAATTCGTCACGGACAAATTGACAACTGGGTAAGGAGGTCAAAGGCTACGATCAAGGCGAGGTGGCTAACATGAAATCTGCAGGATCATATGGAAAGATTCTGGTCTAATTCGATATTCAAATATCTCCGCGTTGAGCCAGAAGATCATTACTTTCTGTTAACAGAACCTGTATGTACTCGTTTCTCAATTCCGTATAAACTCTCCACTTACCGATATTTCCCAGCCACTCAATCCACCCGAGAACCGTGAGAATACTGCCGAAATTATGTTCGAATCCTTTAATTGCGCTGGTCTATACATTGCCGTCCAAGCTGTACTCGCATTGGCTGCGTCGTGGACTTCATCCAAAGTTTCTGATCGATCCTTGACCGGAACCGTAATTGATTCTGGAGACGGTGTAACACACGTAATTCCTGTTGCCGAAGGATACGTCATTGGATCATCAATCAAATCAATTCCTATCGCTGGTCGAGACATTACATACTTCATTCAATCCTTACTTCGAGACAGAGGTGAACCGGACTCCTCATTGAAGACTGCCGGTGAAATCAAAGAAAAATATTGTTATGTCTGCCCAGATATTGTCAAGGAATTTGGTCGTTTCGACCGCGACCCTACGAGATTCGAGAAGCATACCGTTACCCAGCCCGGCGGGCGTCAAGTAACTGTTGATGTTGGTTACGAACGGTTCCTTGCTCCAGAAATCTTCTTCAACCCAGAAATTCACTCCTCCGATTTCTTGACTCCACTTCCAACAGTGGTCGACGGCGTCATTCAATCTTCGCCCATCGATGTTCGTCGTGGACTGTACAAGAATATTGTCTTGTCTGGAGGAAGTACATTATACAAAGATTTTGGTCGCAGGTTACAACGTGATATCAAACATTTGGTAGATGACAGAATTAGAGCCAGCGAAGCACGAAGTGGTGGCGCAAGAAGCGGAGGTTTGGAAGTTCAGGTTATTTCCCATAAGAGACAACGACATGGTCCATGGTTCGGTGGTAGTCTTTTGGGTCAGACCCCTGAGTTCAGATCTTATTGTCACACCAAAGCAGGTAAGTTATACTTTTTGCTCTCCTGTCGATCGAGTATCTTATACTAATATCAAACAGAGTATGATGAGATAGGCCCAAGCATTGTCCGAAGATTCGCTCTGTTGGGAGGACCAGGAGGATCATAAGGAGCTAGACAAGTGGTCGAAAAGATAGAGCCTATGAAGAATTGAAAATTATACATATATTGAAGAGCAAGCGGAGTTTTGGGAGAATGAATGAAGCGATCATTGCGAAGTAAAATGTCTCAAGTTACGTAGATTGAGATGTAGTCGATGAAAATTGATTAAATTGTTGCACAATTGACCATTGTTGAGTGATATTCTCTGATCTAACAAGTGAGGTGATGTCAACTCCATGTCGCTAATTCTTAGTCAAGATAGGTACATCAAGGCCATGAAGGGATCTATCACAGTGCACATCTCCCGGTGAGCCTAGGTGCCTTCAAGCTGTTCCTTCCACAGGACCCGATCTAAGTCTCTTTTCACGTGACCATTGTAATTGCGGGGTTGACAATCGTTTGAACTTCACGACGCGACATGAAGTCAAAACATGATTACTTCCCCAAACCACATCCCTTTACGAAAATATCAGCCCGCACATTTGTTAGATACCGCCAAATTGATTGCAACTCTTGCATACAAGGATCGCCTAAACAAAATTTACAATCGCAACCGAATTACAATTTAAAAGACGTCGCAACCATGGAGACAGACGCATCCAATATCCCGCTCCCCACCAATGAGGATCTTTCACCTACAGAGCAAGACTTGTTGGATGAGTATGAGCGCTTGGCAGAGAATATGAAGACTGTTTGTTTCCCCTCCTCTCCCCTCTTCGATCTTCGCTCTTCCTTCTTCATCCTCTCTCTTCATTTTTCCCATTCACCCTCCCCCCCTCTCAATCTTAATTCTATAATATGGTTCACAAAACTCACCAGCGTCCTGAACAGCTCGCGCACACTCTCGAAACTATGTCCAACAATCCCACGGCCTATATCCTCGATAATCTACGCCAGTTGGAGCGTAAAACAAGTCTGGTTTTCACGTTGTTGAAAGCGAGTGTTTATAGTATTGTGCTGCAGCAGCAGATCAGTGAGGAGAGGAATGATGATGGTGGAGGGGAGGGGAGTGAGGAGGGTGATTATGAATAAATCGGTAGGGATGATGGAGATTGTTTGCAGGGGATTGCTTTCTGTACGATTGCGTGATTGAGAGTCCGCACATTCACATTCATTCGATGAGGGAGTGAGAAGTATTTTTCTTGACCACTATAGAATTTCGACTAGGACACACCAACTTAAGCTCCGATACTTTCAAGGGATGCGTTGAGATGGCTCGATATATGGGAAGTGGGATGTATCATGATAAGGTAGAATAGGATATGACAGAGGGTAGGCGAGGATGATAGGAGTTTCAGATCAGCCTATGGCGGCAAGGTACACATCATTGATGGCAAGGCAGAGTCTATCATTACGAGATATCACGAATTACAGTTGTCAGATAGAAACTCGGGAGGGAGGAATTGCTTCATCTGTTGTTTAGGAGTTCTGGACTAAGATACCCACACATAACATGTGTAATGCAACTTGCATATCAAAATCTTTTCTTATCTAAGATCTTTTCCCCAATGCAATATCATGAATTCATGTCATGTTTGCTTTTCCATATGCTTTTGTGCTCATACCCAGCATTACGCCAGTCCATGCAAATGCACATTCATTTTCCGCATCCATCTTGTAGTACTCATACAACATGTAATATACATGTACATATTTCCTCTCTTTCGTTTCAATGCATCCGCCCATCAAATACCCCTTATACCTTTCCTCCATAGTATACCTTCCTTACATCTACAAGTTTCTTTCCTCTTCCCCTGGCAATCTCATCCGGTATACGCTGTTTCATTAATGCTTGGTAGGTGGCTTTGACGGTATTCATCTTGTTTCTCGAGCGTGGTACTTTGGCTGACAGATCATGAATTCCTACTGCCTTTGCCATATCAAAGATAAGTTTTTGACATCGGAGACCGAATCCTAGAAGTTAAGAATAAATGAGCTCCTTTTCTTGCCCCGCATTGCTAGGAAATCGATGCGTGAAGGGGGATATAGAATTTAGAACATACCTGGAGGTCTTGCCATAAGCTTAACTTCGACCGCACTAACCTTCCCTTCAACATCCCCATAAATAGTTCGTTCCTCATATCTTGGAACTGGTTGCATATTCTTAATAGCCGCAATCTTTGCATTATTGTTCGTATCTTCCGGTTCCTGGCCCTTTGCCTCGCCAATACCTAATCTGCCTCTTCCATTTCCTGCAATTGCCAAAACGTACATACTGTCGATTTTACCCAGACGAGTTTGATTGACAACTCGGTGACTGACCAGGATTTTGGTGTCGAGGTCGAAGATTTCGTTCATGGTAAGTCCAGTTTGGTGGCGCAGTTTCGTGTAAATTCCATCGGGATCCCTAGGATCAAGATTATCCTCATCTTCCTCATCCACCTCCCTCGCTATCTCCGCAGCCTGGCCCGGGTCCTTTGTAAAATCTCCAGGAACCTGAGGGGCAATTGCAAAAGTACTTGGATCGCCCATTTCCTTCTGTAGCGCCTTCAGCGAATCCAATCTATTCGGCCTGTGTTTCTTTTCCCACTCTGGATCCTCAGGATCTATATCCTCAGGATTCTCCTCCATAACTTTATCCATGTACGCCACGAATTCGTCTCCGATCTTATCCTGATCCAGGGTCCAATTTGGGTCAATTCGATAGTCCATGATCTTCTTATCGATTACCGGCTGTGTCATACTCAAATCATCCATATATTTCAACCTCCCCAGATCCGTCCGTATCACTCCATGACTTTTCAGATCATCTGCATCGACCGATTCCTCCGCAGCCTCAATAGCAGCGATTTGCTCTGGGGTATATCGTTTCCCTAACAAAGCTTTCTCTTTGTCGCTGTATCCAGGGTAAAGTTCCTTTGCGGGAGCAGCATCGAGCTCCGACTGTTTTATGCTAGCAAAACGGGCACGACGTCGTGCGGGGAGGGGAGTCGAGGCGTGGAAATTTTGTCGTCGGGTGAGTGGTCGGAGGGAGGGGGGAGGCACGTTGAAAAGACATCGCGCTGGGCGGGAGACACTCATTCTGAGGCGGTTTGGGTGTTGCAGGTTCACTGCACGTCTTTTCGAAGCCCAATTCCTGGATTTCGAGATCCAGCTTGAGATTCATTTGATGAGAAAATTAATCGCTCGGACACTTTTTCGAGGGTCACGTGCCTAGCCTTGCAGGGGTCTTGGGGAGAGGGTTTCGTTGACTTCATCCTGGAAAGTCTATACACAATCTTTATTAGCATGTCGTTCTGATTGATATTCAAAGTTGAATACTACACTGCTATCTGATTATACTGGTAGTCAGACCATAGGGAGTTTTGTTCTTCTTCAAACTGAAAATATTGTTCTATATAAAACCTCTAATACTCAGATGATCATCGGTGCATGTAGTTTCGTGCATGGGGCCATGAGTGATGTCAAGTGGTAGAAACGTATTCTATCAAGGCTTCTCTCAAGAAGTCGATTGTCTACATACCGTCTCTTATCCCGTTGAAATCAGAAAAGATTAACTACGTGGCACTTCAAGACACCCTCCAGTATACCTCATGAAGTTATCATCACATATATCTCAGTCGTCAACATCACCACCACAGTATGCCCACCTCCGATCACGTCCCAAAGAGCATTGCAGGTAGAAGTCATGTTCATCATTAAATTGCCAATTCATATACCAATCACTACTTTAAAGTTCAAACATAGCAAATCCAAATAAAGCCTCGAATCAAAGATTCTCTCCTACTCAGCCTAAAAAAAAAGACAAAAGCAAACGATGAACCAGCCGTGAGGCAAGAAGTATAAGAAAGGCCACGCCCATTCCTTTAACCGCATTCTTTCCCTCATGTTATTTTCCTTTTCCACTTCCAAGCTTATACTGGTATCTTATCCATTTCTTGCCTAGTATCAAGCTACTTTAGGTATTGTGCTTCATTCTACTCTCCTTCAAGCCCCATATCATGTCTTTGAACACTCCTCAATCTGTTCGCTGGACCCTCTCAATACCTTAATTTCAGATCAATGGAACAGGGCGGTACTGAGCGCTCTACTCCTGGCCGAAAAAGAGACTGAAAACAATTGCAAGTGCCAAAAGGATGGACCAGGGAGCAGCATATCACGCCAGCTCCAGACAACTGCAAGTAAAGGCAAGCGAAGAAATCATAAATTTGCAAAAGTAAATATATATTCAAGGATAGTGCAGAAGTAGATATACAATATTATGAACAAATTTCTCTTTCTCAACAAAAAAGCACCGCGAATATCCATCAAATCGGTAGAGCCTGTCGCATCTCCTATAAAGACTCATAATATCATCATAAGCCTGAGCCAATTTTTATCTTTCTGCTTCTTATGTAATCTTGTTTTTCTTGTTTGTAAATGACAGTCAGGAATGTTACGTGAATAATTTTCCAATCCAGCCCACCTTTTCGTTCATCGAATTAATGTTATGAGAATGTAGAATAGAGGCCGTTATGCGTTTGTTCGCGTTTGAAATCAGAAGGAATGAAAGGCATCGTTGAAGAAATAATAGAAAGGGTATCGAGATTCGAAGATGAAAAAGTTGAAGCAATTTCAACATCAAAGAGTATAAACGAAAGCAGAATAAAAACGCCACATGATGCGAAAGAAATAAAGATGATCAAATCATTCCACCTTCCATATTCCCTTGATACGCAGCTCGCACTTCCATAGGATGTCTCTCCATCTGCATACCACTCGAAGGAGTAGTTGTAACACTCCTACTAAGTGGAGGTGGTACAGACCAAGTTGGAGGAGGGACACTTTCATATGGACTCCCATTGTTCTCGGTTGGACTTTTTGTAACTCCCTTATCAACAATAGGGCTCGAATTATTCCTACCACGGCTAGCGCTTCTCAAACGTTCTGCGGCTCGCGAAAAGCGGTTCGATAGTGAGTTGTCCGTCTCGGAACGACCGCGGTTATGTGTGTATATGTGGGAGACAGATGATGTACGACGACGTTCGAGGGTGGGTGGAATTGGAGGTGGTTCCATTATGGAACCAGAGTTCATTGTTGATGAAGACAAGATGGTGGGAGTTTTGCTCTTGGGAATCATTGGAATTGGTTCGTCGTCCATTACTATTTCGATGACGCCGGAACCGGAAGAGACGCCAGAGATACCAGAGCCTGATGATACACCCGATACCATGGAGTTAGTGTTTGCATTTGGTCTATACAATGGAGCGGGAGGCGGTGGTGGGGGCAGAGCTAAATGTTGTAGTTGCGGAAGAAGAGGAGGAGCTGGTGGAGGTGGGGGTGGTGGAGGAATCAGATCATGGTTTGGATGGTGCATAGGCATTGCTTGGTTTGCCTCGATAGTTTCGTCGATTCCAGTCAACACATTTACAGGTCCACTTGCGTAAACCGGACTTCCACTTCTACTTCCGCTCTCACCATGGGGATCTCCGGAGACTTGTCTACGAGAAGATTGGGTGGGTGACATTCTTTCTCTAGTATCGGGTGTGCGTCTTGAAGAACTGGATGGAATTGCAGCTTGAAATGCGGGATGTAGTGGTAAACCTGCTGGGATCACATTTGGCTTGTAGAAATTTTCTTCTGGGATCGGAGCTGAGGCAGATCGAGGGGGCATACGGCGAGGTGGTTGAGATGCCTGATACACAGTTTTTGGGAGAGGCCCAAAGGTATCATGCGGGCTATCAGATGAATTGTTGAAAACTGCTGCGCTCAATGTTGCTGCTGCTTGTGATGGACCCGTATCATATCTGTTCGGAATTTGAGGAACTTGTGGAATACGATCTGCACCATTACCTTCAGGATCATACTTAGGATGACGCATAGCTCTTGGAGTTGCTGGTAAGCCAATCTGCACGGAAGACTCTGGAGCTGAACCAAAACCACTGTTTGGAGAAGTATTGTTTGGTGTAGTCTGTTGGCTTCTAGGGGCTTGAGGACTTGCTTTGGGAGGCGAATACGACGCTGCTGATCCCTGTTCGGGGAAATTGGTAGAGGGACGATAAGCTAGTGGTGATAGGCCACTTAATTCTCCTGGGTGAATGATTGGTGGCGCCAATGGTCTTTGAACTAAAGATTTACGTCTTTCTTCAAGCTCTCGTGCAGCTTGTTCTCGCTTTAATGCTCGCTCATCTTTGGGATCCATCTTTTGCTGCCCAGGGGCCGTTTTTACTGACTCTGATTGTGTTCGTAAGTGAGATTGAGACTCAGTACCATCTCGAGTTAAGTATGGCGATCTTTGACCTTCCAATGGTCTTCGACTTGTAGATCTCTCACGACGTCTTCCATTTGGTGAAGAGCCTCGAGCAGCACTTGTACCACGCTCTCTGATACGACTACTACTCCTCAATCTAAATGCAAGTTGATCTGCCTTTGCCGCCCTCAAATCCTCGAAATCAGCAACCTCATCTTCCTGGTAAAATTTCGCTTGGGGAGAGAATGGCAACGGAGAAGAAGGGGAGCGAACTGCTGATCCAGAACGTCCTGCGCTTCGTCCTCGGGCGTCTCGACCGCCTAGTCTAGTATCGGGACTGGCTGGTCGGCGACTGGCGTTGCGACTTGTTTGACGGCTAGATGTCTTGCGCGGCTCTGGAGATTGTTCTCGGACTCGGCTTGCTTGTCTTGATGACTTGAATCCGGTTCGACTGTCCGTTCTGAACTGCTTGTCCTGGATCATGACTTCACTATCTGAGATTGCAGCGCCAAGATCTCTCAGATCTTCAGGCGACATTGGAATAGGCGAGGTTGGCGAACGCTTTGCAGGTTTGATGTATTGGACGATATTCCTTCCTCTGTCTTCCGAAGTTTCTCGAGCCTTTGGCCTTCGGCTACTGCTGCGAGCTCTCCCGCTTCGATCTCGGCTAGCTTGCCGACTCCTTTGTTGTTTCTTATGATACGTGGCTGTTTCCAAGCTATTGATGTATTGGTCAATGCTTCTGCCGTGTAAGACTGGGCTTGTTGTTCTGAAACTTCTTTCGCTGTTTAAAGGGCTTCTAGCATTACTTGAGGCCGAAACGGAAGCGGCTGATGACAGAGCAGCAGAGTTCAAAGGGTCGCCAATTGAGCGGTTAGTCCGAGGATCGTGGCGGGATGACACAGTTGGTTCTGGAGATGACATGTAATCGCCTGTGATTATAGATTCCATCGGTGGCCACTGGATCTGTAGCCCATCTGGCTTACGATGACGTGATCCATTTCTCGTACGATCGTCTTGCTTCTTTAAAGTGAATGTATCTGGCGATGGTGATGGTAATGGATTGGCAATCTTCTTTTGGGTCATGGGTGTCGTAGGTCTATTCTTTGTGATTGGAGTATATGTCGCCGAGCTAAGTTGCAATGGTTCCGCCTCTGTGTCACGAGCATATTGGCCAACTCGCTCCCGATTTGAACCAGAATCGCCAGGCGTTGACGGATTCAATGGCTCCAACCTGACACGAGGTATGACATCGTTAGGTGTTTCGCCGATAGATGGAAGACGTCGACGTGAGAAGCCACCAGGTGTTGCCGTTCGCGCAGAAGCTGGGGTATGATATGCGCTGCGATTACCTGGTCTCAAGAAAGCAGTATGTGCTGTATCACCACCTGGAGAAATAGCAGATTCCTCGATCGGTGTTGGGCCAGGACCAATCGGTGTTTTGTCATTATCAATACCAAAGAACTTTGACTTCTGTTGTTTATCTCCGAACGCAGTGATCAGTTTCAATGCCGATGTCTTCGCAATACTGCGCTGTGGACCCCTATGGCTAGGAGGCGACAAAGGAGGGCTTAATAATTCGGGGATGCTTTGACTATGGATATTGGTGAAAGTTGCAGCTTGAGCAGATGGTGATGTCCAAGGCTCCGACGACTCAGATGCTGTACAGGAAAAGCATCGAATAGCCAATTGTTGTTGACCGTGCTGAACAGCCCACTCACCCCATTTTCGGATCAATGCGGCTTGCCGAGACCAATCCGATGGGAAAACATGACTCGTCAAAATTAATGCTTCCATAAAACGTTTGTGGGAGACGTATATTTCAATTGCATCATTTTGATCACCCATACCGATCATGATTGTAGCAGCAGTGTGGACATCTCCTTTTTCTAGAAGTCGTTGAACATAAGCTCTGGCGACCTTGGTTTGCGAAGCTTGTCCTCCAATTCCACTTAGGGCAAGAAGCATCCAGTCTGAAGAAGTCATCGATTCGGAGCTTGTAGCCATAATATCCAGCTCAAGATCGCCAATCCACTTAGCAAGAAGAACTCTATGGGTTGATCCCATTGGTGCTCTGTTCATCTCATCACGGATCAACCCCTCGACCTCTCCATCCCATCCAAATATTGTACTGAGCATTTGAATTCGAAGATCATCGTTCGTGAGATGGGCACTTTCTGAGACTTGTGGCTGACGGTAAGGAATATCACTTAACCTAGATTTGGTATACTTGAAGAGCTCTACGACATGGCTTCCTGACTCATCGGGACTACGGAGTACTTCTTGTCTTAGCCGAGATCCACGTTGTCGAGAACGATATGATCGTGCTGAGCTGGTATTACTGTGAGCATACGAGTCTCTACTTGATAGAATAGAAGGTTCTCGAGCAGTACCAGTGTGGATCGACGAGCCAAACGACATGGTTGTTGCTTCACTCATACCTCCACGTGATATAGCCGATAAGCCTGAAGAATGTTTTCCATGGTGCCGGGTATTATGTGGCCTTGAATCTGCGGATGACCTAGTGGAATTTGACGTGCGACTTCTCGATGATACAGGCGATAAAGTTTCGGAGCGGTCAGGCTCCATGGCCTCTACACGTAATTGCTGTTCTATTTCATCACCACGTCGAGCAATCCTAGCTAGCGGTGACATCCGATCGGAGTCACTTTCGGAGATATCGATATTAATTGGTACAGCTGAAACTTCGGCTGCAACCGCTTGAGCGGCCTGTTGTTTCTGCTCTTCAATAGAAACAGGGGGAGAAGGTGGCAACAAATTGGCTGGATGTTGAACGTTTGCCACCATTTGCGGTGGAGAATTAAGATCAAATTGCTGTGCCGTATTATTCGGTCCCAGCGTAAAGAGGGTTGCTCCAGGTCCATAAACAGCTAGACCTTTCACAATATCCAATGTCGGAACTTTCTCGAAAGTGACCTGTTTCGTTCGGACGTCCCATGACGATGTTTCCCTGTATCACACCTTGTGTAAGTGGTTGTTGCTAAGCGCGCGCCCATGGCCTTATGCAATGTGGGGGACAAATAAGGGGAGAGTACTAGGTTTACTTACCCTTCGGAAAACTGAATGATGCGACCATTTTTTGACCAGCCCAGCCAATTAGGACCGGTTTGAAAATTATCGGATCGTTTCAATACCCGGACTACTTTGGCTGTGTCATTGCTAGTGGGTGATTTTGCTATACTCCAAACCCGCAGATCGCCGTCATTCGTTTGAGATGCTAACATGTCCGACTTCTGGCGTGACGATGATGCATGCCACGATAGTGTGACGATTGGAGATGGCCCTCTTGAGGTTGTCAAGTTGTGGAGAATTATGAATCTTGGTTGCAATGCTGCAATCAATAGAGATCCATTCGAAAATCTGTGACTAAATCAGCGAAAATGCCCAAAAATGTGTCGCTGGAATTTTACATACCCAATAGCATATGTCCTACAATCTGCTGCTGGTGCCAAAGCTGTAATTGGAATTTGATCTAAAGTTCTTGAGGATATATGCTCCGATGTTGTCGGTTCAAAAAGAATGACATTTCCTTGAGCATTTCCTGTGTGAAATTCATCAGCGACAAAGCCCAGACCTTCATTACCCCGCCATACGCACCAAATGCAACATTCCCGTTGCGCATCCAAGCTGCCACTGTAAGATTTTCGTAACTCGCAAATCGGGCAATTTCGTCTCCCGTCATGCAATCCCATACAATCGCAGTTTGGCCAGCATCGTAACTCACTACTAATCTTCCAGCTCCTCTTTCACTAATGTTATCCACCGCTAACAATTGTATCTCTTCTGTGTGTCTCGAAAACCGTCTTTCAATCTTAAGGGTATCGTGATGAGCGCAAACAACCGAATTTCCTTGCACATATAAGAACATCGATGCTGTCGCAGCACATGGCTCAAAATCGCGAGGTACGTCGATTGGAGGCATACTGACTTCGGCCAATGTAGCTCCAGCACCTTTGGATGAGTGGCCGGATCTCATTGATATTGACCGGGTCCTTGCGACAGACATGATGGTAATAATTTCAATATCTGTGGATCGAGCATCGGAATAGTTAGTCGGGCCGCTGCATGAAGATATTTCTGTCCAAAGGTTGACTACATGAACGCATAGAGACTCGACAAATCTGGGAGTCCAATGCTTCTTCTACTTTTGATAATAGGGAATGTCACTTACAGATATATCAGCTGGAACTCAGGCCTCTTGCCGTTCTTCCTCGCTGTTGTGCTTTCTGCAGTACAGAGGGCTGATCACTATCCACGCCCGATTCTATATCGGTTGTCCCATGGGATATTCTGTATGGCCGGCGGTAAAGAATAGCAGTGGGTAGCTCTAGCTACCGAATCAATGGATGCGTTCTGCAGTGTCGCCGTGAACAACTGTGATGCGTGGTTGTGTTCCGGGGATTCGTTCTAATATTCTTTGTGCAATGGTCGAGAAGGAAAAAGTCAAGAGCGTTGAATGTACAACTGGATTGAGGAGAATATGTTCCAAAGTGAGTTGAAGTGAGTTGAAGTGGTACGAAAGCAGACTACAAGACATCAAAAGCACTAAAAAGATCCTCGTCTCATGCCTGGAGCCAACCGAATCGCAAGACGGCAGATATGGCGCGTGTATGGGTACCAGAGAAAGCAGCAAAATATCACTACACGCTATATGAAAAGATAAAAAGACTGGAGACAAATTGACCCTGGAAAATGAGCACAATAACCGTATATGGCTTTTTTGGTGGTTAATAGCTTTCGTTACTAAGTCCGAGAGCGTTGTAGGGTTTATAGGGCACGATGGGACAGAGCGGCTAATCAAAGATTCTTCGAGCTATCAGTGGATAATGCGGAGACCAAATTAGAAATTGGCACCTGCGAATTTGTTCGATACGCATGTCCAGCCGAACCATGGGACACAGAATGTGGTGTGGAAAGTGATGCGGTCGCGGTCCGGCTCATGTGTCTAGCACCAAGTAAGAAGTCGAGATAGACAAGCCACTATACCGTCTACATACCGCTTAAAGCAAATCCTAGTAAATAAGCTTCTAGCATGCTATTCAAGGGTTGACGCCCCTTCAATGGATGGATGGTGCTCGGGCTTGTATTTTCAATCCATTTATACCCTGTCAAATCGTTATGCATTCTGTCAGGGCTTTTGCGACCCTTTTTCGAGGCTGCTGACGTGCGTTACTTGATTTGCCTTTCTCAGAAACGTACTGATAGAGGGGAGCAAGATGTGATGATTGTGATGGTGACCACATACTGTATTCTTGGTCACAGCAAGTGGGTCAATGTATTTTTCATTCATTCAGATGTCAGAAGTTCAGATTAGAAAAAAGAATTAAGTTTGATATGAAGGACCCGGAATAGAGATAGTACGAGATTTGATGACTGGGAACAGTATACCTTCTTTTGAAGATAATTGGAAGTAATTGGTAACCTTACAATGGGGTAATCAAAAGAGAGGGGAAGATTCAACGTTAACATGCCTGGTCGATCATTAATTGGATACTCGGGTTGACATTTTGGTGCAATGTACCCTCACCTGACTCTTCGAGTTGCGTTGAAAATGGAATATCTCGGCATAGTAACAATACCTGGTACACGCCGGAAACATCTATTGGAAAGCAGTAAGACGAATCATGGATTAGTATATAGTGTATAGTACCTCTATTCCAAGAGAGGCTGTGAGAAAGGGACATGAAAGGCATTGTACTAGATAAGTACTAGGTAGTCACGTATCAAAGTTATTCTTAGGTGTACATGATTCTCGAATATGTACTGGGCGAGATGATATCTAAGGTGGATATTCTTAATTTCTGTGATATGTACCCAACATCGAATAGGTACCCTATGAAAGAAAGATCTTCCGAGATAGTTAGACACGGATTCATGTTGCTCATGTTGTGTTGTACAAGGTGATGAGATGAGGAATGGTTGAACTCATCTCTTGATTCGAGTGATTGCCCTGATGAGAAGTGATATTGGTGATTTTGGTGATATTAGATTCTGAAAGCTTCAAGGTTAATTGGTTAATTTGATGAAAATAGTTGAATCTGATGATTCTATTCGTTCAATTAGTTTCATTCTATAATTCCACCATTCCACTAATACCATTAGCATCGGATGGGCCCTTGTATCTGATCCTTGTGTTTTTGCTCCACGATGCTCCACGGTTTTCTCATCGCAAGGCACGTAAGCGCCATTACTGGTCAAAGCAGTACGGGATTATTCTTAGCGATATGTACGAGATGCAAGATGAATGCCATTCATCACCCAGAGTTGATCCTATCAGAGAAGGTAATCGCCATATCAATGGGCAACGATACATGGTTGGCACGGCGTTTTTTTTTGACCATCGAGTCGTTGAGACGATATGGATGGTTGAATGGCGGCTTTGTATAACTTTCGAATGACTACTCGTACCTTGGTATTGCACATGAAATGTGTAACTAATGACTAGAAAAAAGATTCAAAGAAGACGATTGGAAGAGAATTGAGAAGATGAGAGGATCAGATGAGTCCCACTAAATTCCACATATCTAAATATGAACAATTGATTGTTATCAACTCCGATATCCGTCAAGTCATATCTATCTACTCGAGGCGCCAACAAAGGTATTGTTCCCATGGCATGTTTCGTACGACAACGAAAGAACTTAAAGAAGAAATTTTATGGAAAAATCCAATAACAATTCCTTCTATTCATATACTCCTCGGCGACATGTCGTCTCTCGAAGGTTTCCGTTCCGACTTTACATTTGAGCCTATGTACGATTATATCCCAGGTAGCTCGGTAGGTAGTATCTGAGGTCTACTCATTCAAGCGATTCACACGGAATATCATCCAATTCTCGTTACTTGCAGTTTGCATCGTGTCAATCTTCTGAATTCGATCAGAGCTATACATACCGGCTCTCCAGGTACTTTTCATCCGTCCGTCCATCCTTACGTCCATCCATTCATCATCCTCATCTCTGATCAATCTATCTATGGTCAATCTCTGGTCCAAACTCAGTAGGAGCCGAAATAAAACCAACGGAATGATCATCGTCCGTGGCCAGATTTTGATTGCAATTGCGCGAACGAACATGGATTCAGCACCTTCCGAGTTTCCCATTCCCCTGCTTTGAAGAATCCTTCCTGTATTTGGGGGAAAAGTAAAGGATTTGGAGAAAACCTAACTCGGGTAAGAGGGTAGCTCGGGTAGGTAGTACGTGAGAATTGTAAAAGATCTCTCCTAAATCCGTGCAAACCTAGCGATGTTGTTGCTTGCTTGCTGCTGGTTAATCTAGAGGAAGGAAAATCTGAGCATATCCGAATCCGATGAAAGATCCACCCCGTCCCTATCCCATCCCATCCCATCCCATATCACACACAAATGAAATGAAATGAAATGAGTATCCAAGGGAAAAGGTGATGGCTTGAAAGTATAACAGCTTGCATCCTTCCGTCTGGATGAAAGTCTTTTATCATGTCGTATTCATTCCACGAATAATGGTTGCATGAGGAGTGACGGGATTGTGCTTGATTTCGTATATGATTTGCTATATCCATATTAAGACATTTGTGATGTGAAAACTTTTCCTCCGAATATTTATAGGTTCTTTTACATTTCAAAGAGTCTAACTAACCTAGCTATCGGAGAAGTATGCGATATCATTTTCTACCTCTTAGAATGCTACTGAGACATTTCACGCGGGTGCCCAAGTGTGATTGAAGAACCATCTCTACATGTTCCCCTCATTTTCCATGAAATGCCCTCCTATCATTATCGCTACTCTTGTGCCTTCCTCTTCCTCACTACTCTCGCCAAGTCGATCTCGAGAATTCCTGTTATCAAATTATCGTCAATGAGGACCACAAAAATCAATCTTTCAATGTAATGTATACATCCTATCCTACCTCACCCACTGCGTAATGTAAGTCTTACAAGAGCTCAACATGCTCTGTATAACATAGATGTCCTTCGCCGCAGAACAAGGCACAGTACATTTTTCCTGTACTACACTGCGGCTACTGTACTGTTATGTATGTATGTATGTACGATAGGACCACATATCTGACCTACATTTGCTGCGGAGAGAGGATTTTCCGTATTGCATGCACCGTGTCATATCTAATTCTAGCCCCCACTGGTCGAAGGACAGGCCGAAACGGTACGAAACGATATATACCGCCTCTCTGATATGATGATATATTTGTACAGTACGAAACATATAGGAATAGCAATTAGGAATCTTAACCATGTCATATCTCTATGCTGAGGAGCGTACACGCATAATTTGTAAGCCTAGAGTTTCAATTAGTAGTTACCTAGATAGTTACTCGAAAGCGACTTCGGATTAACTTCAAAGTACCGGTCAACAGGTCTGATCAAATCAAGCCTTCGCCCTGCCCAGCATTCAACTGCATACTCAAACCAAGGCACTGCTTCCTACTGGTAAGTATTTGGTGATAGAATCACAGAAGTGATGGATATATGTATTTGAACCAGACCACGTCGAATTCCGATTCATCCATTGATAGATGGGGACAGTCTGATACTTGGCATCGTTTGTGTTATCCCAGCTTGTCAAGATTCAATATCATTGCTTAGTCTACGGGGAAAGATACCGGCGGGGGTGGAGAAGGTCTAGTTCCTTAACGACTCCCGGGCTTTTTTCCTGAGCTGCTCCGTCATTTTCCTTATGGTGACACCCAATTTAGTACCTCAGCTAAGCTTGAATACAATCAGTCCTACTCACCAATTCTTGCCAGCAATAGATTACACAAGATTTCGTATCAGAATCCTCAAGAATCAAAGTTTACAATAGAACAGCACGTACACAACGAACTGTACAATCGAGGCAAGTACATCGTGGCACATTATCTTCAACGCTTCGGATGGGATCCGACTAATCCTCGCCCCTTCGATATAGAAAACAGCGCGCAAGAATTAACTAACACTGCCACCAACTCGTGTATTGCCAAATCCTTATATCTCTAACTTATCGTGCGGCACGGCAAGTAAGAACAAGACTCATTTCTTCATCTCGGTATTCATCCCTTCATCCCTTCATCCTTTATTTCATTTAAGCTGACAGCCCGCCCCCCAAGATCTTTGAATTCAAGACCTTCAGCAACGTTGCAGCCACACCTTGTTTTCCTCGTTCCTAATAATTCACCACACCCTCTTCTTTTCTTCCCCTATCTCGTTCAATTCCAAATTCATCGCGCACTGCATTTCATCCAGGCTAAATTTACCAATTCGTCGGTTCGGTCCATTAAGTATGTTTTATCCAGTGAATGAAGCTACTTGAAGTAAAGGATGCAGTAGTGCAAGCGTTGTTCTCCACACACACAAGTAATCGTACCTGGATGATAGTTCTCCACACCACCCTCGGAAATGGATTGGTACTAAGTCTCTCCTATTCGCATGATTTCTAGTTCCGGAAATCCATCTTTCATTCCTTTGGTGTGTTGAGATATGAAGATGTGATTCAATACTATGCGTTTAAACATGGCAAAATTCCAACGAAATTATAAATCTGAAGTAGAAGATTATGTCTCGATCCTCTTCTGGTTCTCATTCGCTCCTCCATCTTATTTTCATCTCCCGTAACACAAGTCCGGCATCTGTCTTCCAGCCATTACAACATAGGATGATCCTGAGTAGATCATGCGTGGTTTTATGTCTTGCCGTTGCGAAAGTAAGGGGTGCGTGCTTGTTTGTATCATAGAATGCGACGGTGAGACATCAAAGTCTAAACACTATTCCTCTAGTATACGAGTGTTCGAGAAGAGATCTCGGTGTCAAGATTTCGCTCAATCAGTAAGTCTGCTTGTAATTCCAGATTCACATTAGTACTATCT